TAAAAGGTCTGCGTCATAGCGGGTCAGTCTGGAATTATTCGTTAACGAGAAAAGAATGTCGAAATAACGCCTATTTTTCAAGTTCCTTGTACACTCATGGCTCATGCAAATTAAGCAAAAGGATTTCTGTTTTAGTTTGTTGTCAACAAAGTACAGAACGAAAGTCCAAAGTCGGGTCAAGATTGTTTTCGTGGACAACCCGTTGAAGGTGCGAGAGTCTGCCAACAAGCTCAACATGATCGCGAGGCCTTTGCCTCCGAAGGTGTTCCAAAGCCTGTATTCTGTACGGTTCGGGGGTATCGTTGATAGCTAGGGCTCTCAAGTCTCTTCCGGAGGCCCGGTCCAGGGTTGGAACGCAGTCGTTGAAAGACCTTGCTCCAGAAAGGATCTTATATGATCTGAGTCGTTCACTCGCATCACGCTCGTTGATTGACCATGTCAAAAGGACGTCTTCGTCGATGTACGGAATGTGCAGGATCTCATCTGCCATGATTGATTCGTACACCAACGGGTTGTGAGTTCGTGACTACGTTCTAAGCTTGGGAATGATTTAGGCACATTCACACCTCTAGCCGGTGCTTTTGAGTTGAGTGTCCAGTCCCATTATATTCACGATCCCAAGAGCCCATAGCTAGACCAATTTCAGTCCAGCCTAGTTTGCGGCACGAACTGAAACAGGGCCGCTCTCCCTTGAAGAAGAGGTGTCATGTTGAAATGAAGCTCGAGCATCCTGCTTGATGTTGTGACCAGCGTGCCAGATGGAAATCCAATTTCATTCGTCCTGCAACTTCTGATGTTGGAAAACCAAATCTAGTTTAGTTTCGACAGCATAATAGTTCAATATTTGCGATGGTAAATGATCCCAGAGCCATATATGTCTGCTAGTAGATTCAAATTAAAAGACAGAAAATCGTTGGCGAGAGTCAATTCTTGAGTCTTGCATTGATAAGATGGACTAGCCAAACAAGATTGCATAGTGAAATCTAGTTTTGTTTCGCCTCAACCTGGTAGATGCAGTCGCGCTGGCAAAGCGACCTTCGAAAGGGTATGCCACGACCCCCGCTGATGCCTTCCCAGATAAGATTCGGCACTTTCGTCCGCCCCTAACGCATCGTACCGCAGGCTTGGCTCACCAATTGGTGTTGAGGCTGGGCGGCAAGGATGCATCTTCGAACTGAGCCGTAGGAGGCGCTTTGTCTGCACTGTCCGGAATCTCTCGGATCTCACAATCTCCATTCTGAGCACTGATGTTTTGCTGAACATGACCGTATGGCGCGAACACCGGACGAGCATCAACTGGAATCCAGTGCGTTGCTTCGTCAGACATCGGAGTCCTGATTGGAGAAGGAATCAGGAAAGGGAAGAATTGGCTGTTGGTTGAAAATTCGTATGTCATGAAGTCTTGCGCAGGGGGCTGCCAGATCCGACGCCCCGCAGTAGATGGAGGCTGTAGTGCTGCCAATGGACGCCATTGTGGCTCTAGTGGCTTATCGCCGGCAATGCTATTTAAGTTTCTTTCATAATTTAGCCGCCTTTCTAGATCGGCTATGCGCTCTTTGACATTTTTTCCTGCGATTTCAATTAGAAGTGGTCAAGAGGGATTAGGCAGCGTACCCACGGTGTCTGCGTTGTGAGATCCTGTTACGAATCCGACGGCGCTCAGCAGGATCAGCGTTTTTGGCCCAGTCCTCGTCTGGCCGTGCTAAATCGCTGCAGTGACCGCTGATTTTGGTAGACAGCATGGTAGAGGTGTATGGCTGGGTGTGTCTTGAAGTCGACGCCGCTTGTACTTGCACATGGCGTCTGTCTGTCTGCTTCAGACCATGGGGTTGAGGCACTGGCGCGTCGATCATGATGCTAGGGTATGGGGCATTTCGCTTGATGTCGGTGAGGGCATCATCTGGCGAAAGTCCGTTGTTCATGGTGGCGCCGCTGACGAACAGCTGAATGTTAGTCAAATCTGCCGTGGCTCTGGCTGTTGAGGCTTATAAGGTTTTCTTGCGCGCGACGAATTATTTTTCCGTTGACTAGACTCAAGGCTGGCAGGTCCGGAGCTATTCTATTGGGAATATATTGATGGAACGGAAGAGAGGCTGAGGAAGCGAGCCTTTATAGATAATTGGCAGCGCCTTGTGGATAAGTCCTAGCTGACCTCCGCCGACCACCAAAAAAGTTGGGCCACGTTGGGTCACGTTGGGCCACGCTATTCCCGCAGCTGACTTGCCTCTGAGAAGTGCAAGGCGATGGAAACTCGCGTGGTTCGAGTTTTGCCAACGGTAGGTTCTGCGATCAGCCTATGACGCCTTGGGCCAAGTAATCAAGAATGGACGCAGCACCACGGGGCCACGCCTGTTCCGCTCATTAGTACGCCGCATGCTTAGCTGGCAGACATGAATTCGTACTTCAAATCATCGTACTGTGCATTATGACAGAAAAAAAACCTTGACGTCGTTCAAGTACTTGTTTCAATCCTAGAGTATCACATAAGGTACTAAGATTCCCTTCCCTGCATCATTGAACGTGTGGAATTGCGTGATATCCTACTGATAAGTACATATCAGAAAGTACTTGTTACACATATTTCCATAGAAACACGGAAAGCACATTCAAAAGTACATACTGAGTTAAAGATAGAAGTACGGGCAGAAGGACACATAAAAGTACGCACAAAAGTAAATCCTACCAGCAGACAGCCAGAGAATAGCCTGAGATACTGTCGGTCGCAATTGGTCAAAATGGTTAAATGCTACTCGCATTTCCATCCGTTATCTGCTACTGATTTCACTGATAGAGTCGAGCTTGGGAGCACCGACACAGACGGTCGCTTCGACGCTCGACTTTCGTTTTTGCCCGCTTCTTCACCCCTACTTGTCTGCTTTTTGCTTTGACATGGTCGAGATCTGTTGATAAAGTCCCTGTCCGTTTCTGCCCATATAACTCCACACGTCCTCCATCAGAACTCTCTGATTTCATAAGAAGAAGTGCATTTTCGGCCAGTAGGTCCTTCTGCCGATCTTGCAGGATCTGAATTCTTCTTTGCAACTCAGGGATCTGAGCCTCATAGTACTTTCTGTACTCATCCGCCCACCTCCGATAATGAGCAGATAAGGAATACACATGGTTGTAGGTATCGTTCTTGTACTTCTCAACAGCATAATATGAGTCAAAAATCTTTTCAAGTATATGCTTTGTAGGAGGCAGTTCGTTCTGCAACACCCGCTCAGGCGGTACCAACTCCTATTCACAGTCAATCGGTCTGACGTCCTTAACATTGCCACAGGTACTTCCCCCCAAAACATATCCGTGGCGTCGGTACTTTCCAAGACGCAGGGCCGCTCGAAAACGACCCATTGATCTCGGCACTGTCTGAAGCGGCGGTCATGT